AACTTACAATGTCTGCTTATAAATGGCCAATACTAAGCAGAAATAATTTTTATTAAATAATACTTCAAGAGATGATTTAGGGTTAGAGGTTTTAGCGGTAAGCCCTGAGCAGATTGGGGTAGGTGACTGTCAATCTGGTGCTCCTGGGTTTTAATACATGCTCATTAAACTTGATTTGGTCAGAACAGGACAGTTTTACTTGCATTTTAGTCACGCGCTTGGTTGCGTAGTGCACACCGTATTGTTAGAGAAACTTAAGAACTGTATTTGCTGTACTAAGACGTAAAACGAAAGGAAACTGTGGAATGTTGTTAGTTGAATGCATACCTCGCCAGAGTGTAGATCGTTTGAATGTGGGAATAAAATACAGTCTTTTAAACTGATCAGTGTTGCCAGTTGGATATTCCCGAAAATAGTTCATGCTCGGACCGTGTGTGTACTTACAAAAGTGGACGGCGTTTTTAAAATTCTCTAACGCCAGCTACTGTACGAAATGGTCAACAATTAATTCTATCTGCCAACAAAAGTAACGCTTATGCTAATGCTTGTGTGAAAAACTGCAAAATGATGCACACAAAGACACGTGACCCTGGCAGGCGCTAAAACCAAACTTGATCTGTAGAATATGTTTTTTGCTTCGGTAAGCATAAAGTCTCTCTACGTACAGGGACCTGGGCGTATAAATGTACATGGCGAGGTTCGCGCGCCTTTCCCTGGAAATTACATTTAGCTTTTTAGATTGGAAAAAACGAAGTTAGACTACATTAGAGTTTACAATTGCAATACATAGAACCGAACGTTCAAAATTAAAGAAATGAGAAATGGTGCGTAACGCAACTACGAAACTACTAAAACAGTGAAATCTGTGCTAATTCGGGAAGGGCTCGTATAATGCCAACTTTCTTCAGCTGTTAGAGGGTTATCAATACCTTTAAAAGAAATAAGTTTTCTTTGTTTCTTGCCAATGAATACGTGAAAAAGATACGCACCTTCTCTCAGCACAACCTCTCGTCATGTTCTTGTGGCTGCTTCTCAGCATCCGTCAAATCATCCTCTTCTATGA